AATCGTTTCTTCAAGTATAGCCTACTTGTCAACGATTTCGACTTGTACCGGCTCTCCAGCTTGTCCCAAATATCCACCGGGTCCGTCAAACCGAGAACCTCCCGAAGAGTATTATTTGCAAGGCATAGGCATATTGTACTTGTTGCCATGTCCTTCAAATCCTCCCACTCTTCTTCCGACAATTTTTCCGGTTTGTCGTTCTTCCGGTGTTTGGCCCACTCAGCATCCGTCATTTTTTCTGTCCTCTGAACCTTCACCTTCAGAGCTTTGATTGTCCCTTCCCGAGTAAGAACACTTTTTACTCGTTGTTGCCACAGAGTAAAATCGCCACGTCCATCGAAAGGTTCGACGGAAACATTCGAACTTTTTACCGATGCCATTTTTCAAGTTCTCGGCTTTCTTCTCTTACCGCTTAGAAATCCCTCCGCCCCAATGTAACTTGGCTCTGATACCAATTGTTCGGATTTTAAGCGCGTAATATACTGAAAAATATTGAGAACTTGAAAAATAAACAAGCACAATACACAAGAAGAAAATATGAGAGAAAAATTATATCTTCACTATTTCAGAACGATACACAAAAACTCTCCCTGTTTACAAGTGCTAAATACCAGACACTTATAAACAGATTTTTCACACCCTACACCCGGATGTATTTTTCCGAGTAACTAAAATCAGTTACTCCCTACACTCGCTCACAAAATGTTGGTGATATCTTGTGTAGACCTCTCTCTTAACCTTCCTCTTTTTTTCCTCTCCCTCTCTTCCGTGTTGTTCCATGGCTATTAAATAGCCAAAAACCATAATAGTGGGAATATTAGCTGACAACTCCAAGAGGAAGACAACAAAACTCCAAAAAAGGGCTCTCCATCATTGCAGCTCATTTCTTGGTAGTTTCCACCCAGCAGCATCTCATTTTTTTCTTTTTTTTTTCTTTTTTTTCTGTTTCAATTATTTAATCAAAAATATCTCAACAGTTACCGAGAAAACACCAAACAAGCAAGGAATATTTCATAAGCAGATTTCCTCAAGTCATCATCCAATAGTCCTTCAGGAATCCCAAACTTTGTATCAGTTTAATCAAGCAACATTTGAATGGAGAAAAATCATGATGAACAATGTGTTGGTTACATAAGCCTCGGACTCCTTCACCACACAATCATTTCGAAAAGGGTTCATACGGAATGACTTGTTTTCATTTATCGCTCTTCTGACTTTTCTTGCAATAATAAATACAATAAATACATGTTTGTAAGGTAGGTAATCCAATTTTAGGGATATGAACATGATTTCGTGGGAGTGACTTTGTTGGTCCAGGGTGTGCATGTTTCAATTCATTCTCAAAAGTCAAAACCAGAACGAGAACTTGGAAGATCAGAATCACTCAATGTATGATTGTTATAGTTGTACTCAAAAGTCAAAAGAATTGTTTTCATCGTCTTTATTAGTAGGACTTTTTCAGTCTTTATTTTTCTTTATTGGAACATAATTTTCATAGAGAAAATATATAATAGTAAAAATAGATAATTGAAAAAAATATAATCTTGATATTCATATATTTATAGATTCAAGTATCAAATGACAACGTATATTTATGAATAGAATATATTAAAATAGTTCCATCGCTCTAAATAGTTTGAAAAAAGGTATGAATACCCTTTTTATTTTCAAAACTTATTTAAAAAACATCTATCATTTCAAAAGGTTACGCACGCGCCACATTGGTTCGTACTATTTTTTGTTCATTTTTTATTAAAAAAGGGGCCATTGATACGTGCTTCAATCAACATTTGCTATCAAACAAAGGAGCCTGAAAGCTGAATTGATCCAACAAGCAAGTCTGATCATGATGAAGAATGCATGATGAATAGATTTGCTTTTGAGGCTTTGGATCGGACGATGAGAGATATCATAAGGTTCTCTAATAGTAACTAAAGAAATGAACCATTTGGAGGGAAAACAGTTATACTCGGAGGTGACTTTCGGCAGATCCTTCTAGTTTTACCCAGAGTTTCGAGAGAGAAAATTGTAGGTGCCACGGTCAATTCCTCACATTTGTGGTCATACTGTAAAGCTTATACATTGACTTGGAATATGTGACTGCATTCATCCACGTCTTCTTGCACAGATAGGGACACACAAGCTTTTTCTGATTGGATAATCAAAATGGGTGATAGAAAGCTAGGTCAGGTGATGTTTGGAGTTAGTGATGTTGACATTCCACCCAAATTCTTAATTTTTTATAGAAGTTCTTCTATCAAGTGTATAGTAGACTTCACTTATATGAATATATTAGAGAAAATGAAAAATTATTTTTTTTAAGCATAGAGCAATATTAGCACCAATTCTCGAAGTAGCTGAAATGATAAACGAACTTGTCATATCTCTCATTCCTGGTGATGAAAAGGAGTACTTGAGTTCTGGTTCTTCATGCCAAACATATACAGATGTAGGTGTTGATGACGATTGAATAACAGTTGAGTTTTTTAATGAAATCAAATGTTCAAAAATCCCAAACCACAAAATAGTCTTGAAAAAAGGGGTACCAATTATACTATTGAGAAACATTGACCAAACATCTAGATCGTTTTATGGGACAAGATTAATCGTTCAAAAGATGTGAAATAATGTTATCGGTTCAATTGTGGTTTCGAGAAGTCGAGTTAGGGAAAATGTTTACATTCTTAGAATGAATTTGGTATCATCTTATCTAGGACTACCCTTAAAGTTCCAAAGAAGACAATTCCCGATCGCCTTACGTTTTGCTATGACTATCAACAAAAGTCAAGGTCAGACATTATCATTTAATTTGATGGATTATTTTTAACTAAGTCAATGTTCACACATGATCAACTTTATATTGTTGTTTCATGAGTGAAGACAAAGACATGATCAAAGATATTGTTTCTAGATGACAATGGAAATCCTTGCAACCAGACCAAAAATGTTGTGCAACTATACCAAAAATGTTGTATACACTAAGTCTTTTAGAAAATTTGGTATTAAAATAAACATTTTTAACTCTACATTCAGTTACTCAAATATATCATTAATTTTACTTTGGCATTTTTCTTCTGTAGTATTAAAAATCATGTGAGCAATATATTTTCTTTATTCCAAAAAAATAAATTTTATTGAAATAATTCAGAATCGACATAAATTTCGTTCAACCCGTGTATGGCACGGGTTAGAACAGTAGTTAAATAAATGTGTCAACTAAAAACGCATCATTGCATGATAGGACTCTGAAACTGCTCACTTATCAGCGGCGCAGGAATAAGCATTTGACTTAGTCATGCATTTGACTTAGTCATGTTTTATGACTTGGTCATGTTTATTTATTTATTTACCTAAATATGAGTCTATCCCTTTATATTAGTAATTGAGTCAATCAAAGTTGTTAGTAATTTAAAATATCCCTTTTTATTGGCAATTGGGTCAATCAAAGTTGTTAGAGTCAGTTGAGATAATCGTGGGATGATGGGATCACCATCTAAACCCAAGGAGTCAGTTTCTCTTTTCTGTTATTTCCCTTGTATTACTGCATTATTTATACCCTTAGCCAGTTTATGCTAAAGGGGGAGAGTAATATTACATTTATATTTTCAGAGATTCTCTTGGGCTTCTTAGTCTCAAAAATCGAGATTCTTGATTTAAAGAGATTTAGAAGATTTGTTCTTGTTTTTAGTTTCCAGTTTTTGGTATCTATCATTTTGGTATCAGAGCCTAGATCTTGCCCAACTATGGTAAACACTCGATCTTCCGCAACTGATGGCAATCTTGATGTCGGCAACACCCTAGCACAACAGAATGATGCCTTGGCCGCCATCGCTGCCCGACTGGACATTCTGGATGAGTTACGAGACATAGTAGCAGCTTTAGAAGTCCACAACCGCAATCCAACAACAAAGAAGAAGAAGATCTATGCCGACTATTCCGAGGAGGAATCAGAATCTCATTCACGACAACACTTCCGGCCTCCGTA